CTTATATAACCAAGCTCTGATACCACTTGTTAGACAAATGGCATCTAGAGGGGGGGTGAATAGATGCACAAATTAAAATAGATGTCAAATTGAAAATTTATTTGTGAGTCAATAATTTGTTAAAGCGGAAGCAATAATATAATCAGGAAAGGAGAAAGAGATAAGGGAAAGAGAAGAGCACACAGAGATTTATACTGGTTCGGGTATAGCCAACCCTACATCCAGTTCCCAGTCAACTCTTAACACAAGAGTGACTCCCCATTCACTATCTTTCAAATTCAGTTTACAAATTACAATCAACTCAGCAGAAGAAACAGTAAAAAGTAAACTAATTAAAAAGACAATCACCTCCTTAGAAACCCACTAAGGATGAACACCTCCCTAGAATCCCACTAGGGATGAACACCTCCTCTGAACAAATCAAAGGATGAAAAACACCTCCTTAGAATCCCACTAAGGATGAACCCCTCCCTAGAATCACACTAGGGATGAAAACCTCCTTTGAACAAATCAAAGGATGAAAACACCTCCTTAGAATCTCACTAAGGATGAACACCTCCTTAGAATCTAGCTAAGGATGAACACCTCCTTAGAATCACACTAGGAATGAAAAGAACTTCCTTTTCACCAATGCAAAAAGGATGAAGGTAATAAAAATAAGAACAGACACACCTGGGTAATGGAGACAACAAATTGTAGAAGCTTGTAGAATAACAATCTCCAAGAACAAGTGTGATTAACAATGAAAGCACAGAAGACAGGTAGAGAAGAGGGTTTTTTCAAAAGGTGTAAAATATCTCTATTGCCTTGCTCAGAATTCTTTTCTCAAAATTGATTGAATGTAAATTGTATTTTCGAATTCTGTAATTGTTTTTTTTTTTCATCAAAACTTAATTAAATAGAAAAATAGCATCAGAAAATGGTCATTGGACATTAATAATATCATAGAGAAAATCAGGATGTATTCAAAAATATTTATTCTTTAAAACGGATATATTTTTCAAATTTAAATTTCCATAATTGATTATATTACCAGTATAATTAATTATGATAGAGAAAAACATTTTTTCATTTCTGATGCATCATAATTAATTATGATAGAGAAAAATATCATGTTATGAATTTTATCACACTTGTGTTTTGGAGGCTTATGCATAATATTACTTCATCAACTTGTACTTCCATATCCAGTATTCTAAGACTCTATCTAGTCTTCAAGAATCATCTTGGGCTTGCTTGAATCATCATCTTTATCAAAAACATATATTGGGCATGTAGGGAAATGTTTCACATTGTCACCTACGTCATAAATTCAGCTTGTCCTTAAATTCATCTTGAATGGTGTTGACTTGAATGTAGTTGACTTGAATCATCATCAAAATCATCTCTTAGGAATGCAGGAACATTTCCATCAATCTCTCCCTCATTGCTTTCGACTCCATAGAACCCAATTTTGCGAAAACCTCACTTTTAAGGTTATTTTGGTTATTGAGCATCCTAAAAGTAATGACCAAACTGTTTTACGAAAACGCGAGATTCAGTCATCGTGTCACGATCGCTCGCACTTTTCGTTCCCTGCATTCCGCCGCACAAGGGATGGCTGCGACAATGTTCAATTGACTCTAGTAGCTCGTCTAATGCTCCATCAAACCAAGTTGACTATAGCAACTCGTTTGATCCCCCATCACACACAATTGACTCTGAATAACTTCAATTCACTTTAGTAACTCGTCTAATCAACTTTTCTATTAACATCTTCTCATGAGCTGGTCCGCAAAGTAGCGCGTCTAGTGAGCTTGTTGTTAAGCTTGTATACTCATTTATAGACTCATCATCACATTTTGAATGTTTGTTGACTAAGTCACCTAAGTCAACTCATCTAAGCTTCCTTCTAGTTGACTGATACTTAAAAACAAATATAAGCTCAATAGATTGAATTGTTGCATGTATGATTACCAATGTTTTGTGAATTTTAGTACCTATGTTTGAGAATGTTGCGTGAGGGATTAGCACAAAGGATGAAACTCACTCCCTACATATATTTTCAAAGAAGAGAATAGCTACCCAAGAAAGAATAGTATGATAACAAAAATCCACCATATGAATGATATAAGCGAAACATTTCAAGAATATCACATATTCTTGTTTTTATAAGTATGTTATTATTCTTGACATAGATGAACCAAACTTAGGAGTAATATAGATGTGAACATATCGTATAGTGTTCCATTCTGTCAAGGGAGGAAAGAAAGAAAAATCATATATTTACTAGTTAATTTGTCGAGGAAGGAAGAAAACATGTAGCACTATATGCTTCTTGCTTAAGTTATTTGACCATTATATTATTGGAATAGCCAATCGTTATTCATGGAAAGAACTACTCGTTATTTGACCTGTGGGGATTGATTTGACCTCATCTCAAGTTTGACAGGGAAAAATTGAGTTAACCAGGTATAAGTTTGGGTTTTTCCTATTTTAAAAAGTCAGAGGCAGGGTGGAATAGGGTTGGGATAAGTAATGCAATCTCCACCCCAACTTTATATTTAAATTTAAAACCCTAAATTATTAATTCTTTTAAAATATTTCCTTTTTTTCATATTATGTATAAGGTAATTTTTCTTATACCCACTTTTTATTCTTTTGTCTTTTTCAATCTTTTCAACCAATTAGTTCATTATATTATTATTTTTCTCCCATCTTTTACTTCTTCACATTTGCTTAATTTCTTCAATCAATTTGATTTTTCTAGTCTCTTTAGCTAAATTGAAAACATAAAATTAGTTTTTCTTCTTTTTGTTTGTCTTTCTATAAATATTGTACATCAATCTTATAAATATTTAGTATTATTTTATTTATAATTTATCTTTATTAAGTTTTATTATGTCATATTTTAGATTTTATTACACTACAAAAAAAACGCTTATTATCTACGGGTAAAATCCGTAGGTAATGCACTCACCTTAACAAAACAAAATATTTTTATTTATTACAACCCCCTCCCCTTTATATTATATTTTTATTATTTATTATATTTTCGAAACTTTGAATTATTATTAAATTAAGGGAATTGTCATTGGCGAGATTCGAACCTAGTACCTCGAGTTGGAGGTCGATACTCCAACCACTAAGCTATTAGGATATTTTGAAAATAATTTACAAATAAATTATATTTATATTTATCCGTCTAAATATATAAATATAAAATATATAAATATAAAATATATATAAATATAAAAAATATATATAAATATAAAATATATAAATATAAAATATATATAAATATAAAATATATAAATATAAAATATATATAAATATAAAATATATATAAATATAAAATATATATAAATATAAAATATATATAAATATAAAATATATATAAATATAAAATATATAAATATAAAATATATAAATATAAAATATATTTATATTTTGATATATTTATATATTTATATATTTATATATTTATACATTTATATATTTATACATTTATACATTTGTATTTATATATTTATATTTATATATTTATATATTTATATTTATATATTTATGTATTTATCTATTTATGTATTTATCTATTTATATATTTATCTATTTATATATTTATGTATTTATATATTTATGTATTTATGTATTTATGTATTTATGTATTTAAATATTTAAATATTTAAATATTTATGTATTTATGTATTTATGTATTTATGTATTTATGTATTTATGTATTTATATATTTATATATTTATATATAAATATATTTATATATTTGTATATTTATATATTTGTATATTTATATATTTGTATATTTGTATATTTATATATTTATATATTTTATATTTATATATTTTATATTTATATATTTTATATTTATATATTTATATATTTTATATTTATATATTTATATATTTACACGAATTAATATAAGTATAATTTAGTTGTAAATTATTATTAGAATATCCTAATAGTTTAGTGGTTGAAGTATCGGTTTTCAACTTTAAGGTACTGGGTTCGATTCTTGCTAGTGACAATTCTTTTAGTTTAATATAATTTACCTACGGATAGTAATTCGTAGGTAATTACCTACGTAATTACCCACGGATGATATTACCTACGGATATCCGTAGGTAATGGATAATTACTCACGGATAGAATTCCGTAGGTAATATCCGTAGGTAATGTACACTTTACCTACGGATAGTAATTACGTAGGTAATTACCTACGGAATTATCCACGGATTACATTACCTACGGATATCCGTAGGTAATGGATAATTACCTACGGATAGAATTCCGTAGGTAATGGATAATTACCTACGGATAGAATTCCGTAGGTAATGTACAATTTACCTACGGATTTTCATCCGTGGGTAATATTCGTAGGTAATGTAAAATTTACCTACGGATTTTTATCCGTGGGTAATATCCGTAGGTAATGTAAAATTTACCTACGGATTTGTATCTGTAGGTAATATTCCGTAGGTAATAGGGTTTTTTTTTGTAGTGTTATTTCTATTGGTCATATATCAAATTTTATCCCAAAAAAATAATTATATTTTGAAAGATTAAAAACAATTAATAATCAAAACTTTTATTACTTTGCACTAATTAAATAAAAATTAACCTATTAAATATTTTCTTATAAAATGTATATTTCATATTTATTAACTTTTTAAAATAATAACTTAAAAAATAATTGACTTATAAATATAATCAAATATTTGAATATAATAATAATAATATAAATATTTTATATCTATAAAAAAAATAATTAAATATTTTTTTCATACATATTTTAATATAAATATAATAAATTAAAATATATACTTAATTAATAATAATTAAGAAATTATAAATATTTATTTATATATAAAAATTATTAAAATTAATTTATTAAAAATATAATTATTTTAAAAAAATAATATAAAGCACGAACGAGTCAAAAGTAATTAACTTGAAATTCAAGATAACCAAAACTTAATTTCTAACCGAAGAAAAAGTCAAACTACCAGAGGCAAAATCCGCCTCCGGCTCTTGGCATGCCTAGCTGCGAATGAAGGAGACTTTTTCCTCTCTAATCTCATCATGCCAGAAAAATTAGTTAAATATGCAGTAGCTTCATGAAAACGTTCTACTTTAAACATGTATATATGGATGGTTTGGGTAGTTTGAATATTATCGTCATGTTGAATCTATAGTTATATGTCCTACTTATTATTTTGAGAAACTTTTGTAAATATTCATGACTTATAGGTTCCTGTTGAAACTTTTTTGACAACCAGTGATGCAAAAATTTGAATTGTCCATGTCATGTGATAACAATTATACGTTAAAACTTTATATAAAGGAAGTTTTAAGTTTATGCTAATATCATTGATTTTTTTTTCTTAATGCAAGAAGTATATATTTTGAATTAATTATGGTTTTATATCTTATTTAAATTCAATTATAAGTTTTCTTGAACACATGAATAAATTATTATCCATTATTTACTTTTTTTTATAATAGTTTATATAAATTAGGAGTCTTATAAAATATAAGGAAAAAGAAAATTGCTCTAAGTTAGAGGACTGACAACCTTTTAAAAAAAAATATCAAGAAAGGAATTGAGAGTAAAAATATTCTCCCCTTTTTATTCTGCACCAACAAATATATAACAGAAATGATTCTAACAATCAACATGCATGGTTCATGATCTCACTACAGGAAAATCAACATAACTGACTTGCTTCTAGAATATGCTGACACATGCAAATCAACATTTGTTACAGGTAGCATCAATTGTCCCATGGTAAAGGTCGGGTTGGCTGAGTCACAATCGAATCATGGTGCTTGAGTTGTTACTCTTAAGTAAAAAGAGTTGTGCTCTGACTAATGGCTATAACTTTTGGTCTAGTGGTAAGCACTTGATTCTAACAATTGGTATCAGAGTCAAGGTCACGAGTTCGATTCTTGGTAGAAAATTGTTAAGGGGGAGATTGTTGCGGAGGCCAGGTAGGTCAAGTCACAATCCAAGTGGGATTCCTCGTAGGACAATTGCTGAGGGGGAGATTATTGCAGGTAACATCAATTGTCCCATGGCGGAGACCATAGTAGTCTTGAAACGCAGAACAGTCAGTGGGGTTACCAAGGGATGATTGGCATAAGAATCTGGGGGAAGAGAGTCAATGGTGCTAGGGAGAATAGCCTTTAAAACTGAACAATGGAAAACATTGTGGATCTTGGAAGTGGTACGTAAGTCAAGTTTGTAGGCAACAGGTATGATTAGGGATGGCAAAACGGGCCAGCCCACCCCGTTTTGGCCCGTCCTGCCTTTGGCCCGCCAAAAGCGGGGCGGGGTGGGCTGGTCCAATATAGTCATGACGGGTTGTAGACCTTGGCCCGCCTCGCCAAGGGGCGGCGGCCCGCCATAATTTAGAAAAAAAATAAATTTTTTTTAAAATAAATTTTTTTAATAAATTTAATAATAAAATTATTATTTGTTTGTCAATAATTCAATATATATATATATATATATATATATATATATTATTTCAATTTAAAAATATAAATCAATACATTATTTTAAGAAATTATAATTTAGAACAATAATAAAATTTACATAATAATAAATAATAACAAATATATATATATATATATATATATATATATATATATAACGTTAAACTTATATAACGTTAGTGTGAAAACCGATCCACACTACCACAAAGATAACGGTATACCCATGAGAGAGAGGTAACCTAGTAATAAAATCCATAGAAATGTCCTCCCACACATGTGAAGGAATAGGAAGGGGAACAAGGAGACCTCCAGGGCGCTTGATACTGTATTTTGTTTTTTGGCAGACCTTACACTGAGAGATAAAAGAGCAAACATCCTTCGCCATATTGCTCCAATAAAAATTGGCAAAAAGACATTTAAGGGTCTTGTTCATACCCGCATATCCCCCAATAGTAGATTTGTGGAACTCTTGTAAAAGCAGAGTGATGAATTTAGAAGAGGAACTCAACCAAATCTTGCCCTTGAATAGAATGAGACCCTCCAACACTTTGAAATGAGGCATTAAAGCGGGGTCAGCAATACACCGTTGTCGTAGGGAGAGGAAGTATGTGTCTTGTAACAAGGATTGCTTCAAGTCATCTAAGAAGACAAATTGAGGCACAGTGAGTACCTGCAATTCGCTGACGACTAGTCCAGTGGATCGGGAAAGAGCGTCGGCAAAACATTCAGTTTCCCGGGTTTGTACTGAATCTCATAGTCATAGCCAAGGAGCTTGGCCAAGTAATACTGCTACTCTAGGGTCTGGATGACTTGAGTGAGGAGTTCCTTGAGGCTTTTCTTATCTGTTTGAATTATAAAGGAGGAACCCAATAGGTATTGGCGCAAACATTTCACTCCGCTGGTGACAGCATGAAGTTCCTGAATATAGGTCGATGCCTTGGCCATACACGGACAAAAGATCTTGTTGAAATAGGCAATGGGGTGAGAGTCTTGGACCAGAAATGCACCCATTTTTGTGCTCGACACATCAGTCTGAATGAGAAAGAACTTAAAGAAATTGGGCAAAGCAAGAACAGAAGCCTCTGTCATGGATATTTTGAGATAATCAAAGGCCTTCTGAGCCTCTCGAGACCACTAAAAAGCCCCCTTTTTCAACATATCAGTGAGAGGATGGACAATTGTAGCATAGCCTTTGACAAATCTGCAATAAAAGCCCGTCATTCCCAGGAAGCCACGCAAGCTCTTTAGAGAAGTGGGGGTTTGCCAATCCACCATAGCTTGAATTTTGGCACGGTCAGGGGCCACAAAACCATCAGCAAGCACATGACCCAGATAATCAACTTGAGATTGAGCAAAAGAACACTTGGTGAGTTTCATGTAGAACTTATTATCGTGAAAAATATCAAACACCTGACGAAGGTGAATAACATGTTTCTCAAGTGTGGAACTGTAAACAAGAATATCGTTGAAGAAAACAATGACAGTCTTGCGGAGGAGTGGCCGAAAGATGTCATGCATGGTGGCTTGGAAGATTGATGGGGCATTGCAAAGACCGAAGGCCATGACGCAGTATTCATAATGGTCATCGTGAGTGTGAAATGCGGTCTTATGGACATCAGAAGGATGCAACCTGATTTGATGAAAGCCAGATGTCAGGTCCAGCTTAGAAAAACAGCGAGCAAGCCTCAATTCATCAAGTAACTCATCGATTGTTGGAAGAGGGAAGCGGTCCTTGATTGTGAGTGTGTTCAATTCCCTATAATCAACACATATGCACCAAGACCCATCCTTCTTGCGCAGTAAAAGAATCGGGGATGAAAAAGGGCTTGTACTAGGGGAGATCCAGCCCGAATCCAACATCTTCAAAATCTGCTTTTCATTTTCTAGTTTATGCGCGTGAGAGTAGCGGTAAGGACGAACGTTAACTAGGTTGGCACCGACGGCGAGAGGAATGTGGTGATCTGTGGCCCGTGGGGGTGGTAAACTTGTTGGTTCATCGAAGAGGAAGGAGTAAGATTTGAGTAGTTGATGAATACTAGTATTTGGGTGATAGAGGAAAGGAGGAATGGAGAGGTCAGGAGAGGAAGATGAAACCTGTAGGGAGAAGAATTAAGCCTCATGGTCAGATCGAAGAAGGTGTTTAAGTTGGTGGAAAGAAATTGAAGAGGGTTGCTGCCCTGAATTCCCTTTCAACTCAATCAACTATTGGTGATAATAGAACTTCATAGTGAGGTTCTGGTAGTCCATCAGAACTGGACCTAAATCTTTTAGCCATTGGGCCCCAAGCACAATATCATATCCACCACCCATGTTAAGGATATACAAGTCAACAATGAGCTCATGGCCCTGAATGATTAAAGCTACCCCAGGACAAAATTGATCACATGTTAATTTCTCCTCGCTATTGACAAGAACATGTAGAGGAGCCGTGGAATGATGAGGCAACCCCAAAAAGAGAGCAACCTTATGTTGGATGAAGTTGTGAGTACTTCCCCCATCAACAAGTATACGCACTTGGTATTGGGCCAACAAGCCCAAAATACAAAGAGTCTCAGGATTGCCAGACCGCGAGAGAGCAGTGAGGCTTAATTGAGCCGAATCAAACGACAGATCCGACAATTCCTTAACAATCAGTGGATCCAATCCAACACCCAAATCTCGGTCATCTTCACTGTCAACGTTAGGAGGTGAGGATTCATCCTCATCCACGATCAAAAGAAAATAATGAGCAGGACATCGATGATTACGTGAAAATTTTGGTCACAATTGAAGCATATCCCCTTTTCACATTTTCTGCCATCTCTGACTCTGTCAATTTCTTGAAACGTGTTTTTAGTGGAGGAGTGGGTAACAGAGGAGGGAGAGGTTTTGGCGGTGGTGACGGAGAAGGAGGAGAGAGCGTTCGTGAGACCGACGGAGTGACCACTGAAGGGATTGGGAGGTTCGATGGCTGCGGGAGCTGTCAAGAAGCTTCTCCTCATGCAATTTTGCATAACCAACTGCTTGGAACAATGAACTGGGTTGGTGTGCAATGATGTCACGGTGGAGCTCCGGTTTCAAGCCCGAGATGAAACAGCTCAAGAGGAAGGAAGGTTGCAAGCTCACAATGCGATTTGCTAGAGACTCAAACTTAATCAAGTAAGAAGTAACAGAAGAGGATTGAGTAAGTTTGAAAAGCTTACCACGAGGATCATCAAATGCTGTGGGGGCAAATCGGTTCTCCAGGGCTTGTAATAGTTGATTCCAAGATTCGATCTGGCTATTACGGTACATCCATTGAAATCATGCAAGGGCCGGACTGTCCAAATACAATGAAGCAACTGTGATACGTTCCTCCTTCGGTGTGTTGTGATACTCAAAGAATTGGGTAATTTTGAAAATCCAGCCTAGAGCATCGATGTCGTTGAAGCAGGGAACATCGAGCTTGAGGAAGTGGCGTTTGGAAGAAGAGGAGTCGTGAGTGTGAAATGGAGGAGGAGAGGAAGGAGGGGAGGAGTTGTTCGAGGGCAGAAAGGCAAAGACCCATGTTCTGGAATTGGGTATTAACAGAGTCTTGAAAAAGGGAGAGTTGATGGAGCATTTCGTCCAATTTCTCAGATTGGGTTTTAGAGCGGGTCCCGTCAGCCATGTGTGAGTCGTAATGAAAGCACCAGTATTAGGGAAAAAGAAAGTTGCTCTAAGTTAGAGGACAGGTAGCCTCTTAAAGAAAATATCAAGAAAGGAATTGTGGGTAAAAATATTCTCCCCTTGTTATTCCGCACCAACAGATATATAACAGAAAGGATTTTAACAATCAACATGCATGGTTCATGACCTCACTACGGGCAAATCAACATAACTGACTTGCTTCTAGAATATGTTGACACATGCAAATCAACATTCACTAATAATAAATAAATCCTAGAATCCCTTTAGTTTTGTGGATTTGTCTTTTGGGTCTGATATCCTCATTTTCTTCAATATTAAGTGGGCCTTCATATGTAACATAAAAACTAATCCCAGTTCCTATTAAGAAAGAAAACCTTGAGTAATGTTTGTTGAGAAATAATATTGACTTGCATGAGAAAGAAAAAGCTTTAGTGATGGTGATTGAAAAAACTAACTACAATAAACTATAAGTTGAAAGAAACTGCTACCAACATTAGTGAAAAATACCGTATCACTAGTACAAAAAACCCTTTTAACATCGGACTTTTTACATCGGTTGTTAAAGAACCGATGTAGAAATTTTTTTAAAGACTTTCCACATCGGTTCAGATAGGAACCGATGTAGAAAGTACTTTCTACATCGGTTCCCCCATGAACCGATGTGGAAAGTCTTTCTACTCTGAATTAAAATAATTCTGATCGGTCATAAGCTCATCCTGATCGATCATATCCAGTTCTGATCGGTCATAAAGCCATTCTGATCGGTCATCTGATATACCATTTTACTTTCTACATCGGTTCCCCCATGAACCGATGTGGAAAGTCTTTCTACTCTGAATTAAAATAATTCTGATCGGTCATAAGCTCATTCTAATCGATCATATCCAGTTCTGATCGGTCATAAAGTCATTCTGATCGGTCATCTGATATACCATTTTACTTTCTACATCGGTTCCCCCATGAACCGATGTGGAAAGTCTTAAAAAAAAAAATAATAATAAAAATTTTAGACAGTCTCCCCCCTTACAGACTCTCCTAGGCCCTTACAGACTCGACTCCCTCTGGAATTCTTCCCTTGCTCCTAGCCATTACCAAATTCATTCTCGCAGTAGCGAAAACCACCGTCTCCTTGCCCTTATCGTAGTAGCGAAAACCACCGTCTCTCCCATCTCCTTCCCCCAATCGAATCCCTAACCTCTGTTTCCCCAATCGAATCCCCAAGCGAAAACCACCCTTGTCGTGCACCAAGAACCGTGACGCGCACCGGGAACTGCGACGCGCACCAAGAAGCTGCGACGCGCCACCCTCGTCTTCACCTCTCCGAAACCCTCTAGGAGCTCCTCCTCATTGCACCTGCGCACCTTCGATCTCGTCGCGAACCGGAGGTGATTCGGACCAGGTCCGTGGGTCTATCCTATTGGCTTCTGCATCCTTGTTTTGTCAATTACCTTTATGCATTTTGCTTGATTCTGGATTGTTTTGTTTGGTCGTGGACTGATTCTCGCTTGGGTTTAATGTATGTAGACATGTTTATTCCGGGTTTTGTATTATTATTTCCGTTTAGTTTGACTTGAATATGTGATTTTCACTTGGTTATTCTCGTGGGGTTGAGATTGGTGTTATCCAAGCCCTGTTGGGTTGGTTGATGTCGCTTCGGTCCGAGTCTCTTAGCGGAAGAGTTAAGGCTATGGGTTTCCACGCTTGGGGTGTAGGGCTTTGGGGTATTGATTATATTTGGTTCTCTTGTTTTTCATTTGGGTTTGTTTCTTATGTTGTTGATTTAGGTTTGTTCTTTGTGTTGTTTGTTTTGTTCCTGGAGTTTTACTTGTTGTTCCAAGTACTATTTCGAGTTTGGATTATAGTTTGAGTTGTTTAAGTTTGTTGCCTCTGAATAGAGGTAATTCCATTTTCACACTAAGCAAAGACGTCATGTACCTATAGATATGGATCGGAGTTGGATAAATGCCAAACGTATAGAAGAAGAATATGAATTAGGGGTTGAAGAGTTCTTAGAGTTTGCACGGAGAAATGTGGGTAACAATAGAGGTCTCTTTTATTGTCCTTGTGTGAAGTGCTTAAATTTAAGACAACTAAGTGTGAAGGATATAAGAGAGCATCTCCTTTGTGATGGATTTTGCAAGAGTTACACTAAGTGGATTTGGCATGGGGAAGTAGTAGATTTCCCAATGGCTTCGGAGACAATCGAAATCCGAGAAAGAAACCAATGATCGACTAGAAGATTTGATACGTGATATCGGTGAAGAGCCATTTGAAAGAGGATATGTATTCGAAGAACTATGCGAAGATAGTAAGAAGCCTCTGTATATAGGATGTTCTAAGTTCACACGGTTGTCAGCAGTGTTAAAATTATTTAACTTAAAGGCCAAAAATGGGTGGACGGATAAAAGTTTTATAGAGTTGCTACAATTATTAATGGAAATGCTTCCAGAAGGGAATACACTTCCAAGCCGTACTTATGAAGCAAAGAAAGTAATCTGTCCGATGGGTATGGAGTATAAGAAGATACATGCATGTCGTAATGATTGCATCCTGTACAGGAAGGAGTTTGGAAGTTTGCATAATTGTCCTGTTTGTGGTACATCACGGTTTAAAGTCAAGGATGGAGAAGATAATTGTGATAAGACAATTTCATTAGGAACCCCTGTCAAAGTAGTGTGGTATCTTCCAATAATTCCAAGGTTTAAGCGGCTATTTGCTAATGCCAAAGATGCAAAGAGCTTAACGTGGCATGTAGATGAAAGACACTGTGATGGGAAGATACGACATCTAGCTGATTCTCTATGTTGAATATAGGGTTAATTTCCCTTATGTATTTACCACACATAGGGCAGTGTATTTATAATAAAGAAAGGTACTCCTCAAAAGAGTAACAGAATACAAATAGGGTAAATAAAAAGATATTATTTGATATTGTGATTAACAATATCTAACAATATCTCAACAATATCAAACAATATCAACTAATATCTAATCATATCTAACACTCCCCCTCAAGCTGGAGCATACAAATCGTATGTGCCTAGCTTGGTACAAAGATAATCCATCCTAGGTCCCCGTAAAGACTTAGTGAAAATATCTGCTAATTGATCACATGAGTTAACGAACTCGAGTCTTGATGTCTCCGGACATAATCTTTTCCCGAATAAAATGGCGAGTCAATCTCAATGTGTTTAGTCCTCTCATGAAAGACAGGATTAGAGCTTATATGGAGAGCGGCCTGATTGTCACACACTAGTGTCATTTGAGTGACATCTCCAAATTGTAGCTCTTTAAGCAATTGCTTGAGCCAAATAAGTTCACGGGTAGGCTGAGGTCATAGCTCTATACTCGCCTACGCACTGGATCTTGCCACAACACTTTGTTTCTTACTTTTCCATGAGATCAAGTTACCACCAATGGAAACACAATACCCGGATGTAGATCTTCTATCGGAGGGAGATCCTGCCTAATCGGCATCCGAATAGCGAGACAACTCTTGTATGATTATGGGAGTCATACACCAAACCTTTTCCAGGAGACTTTTTGATGTACTTTAATATACGGATGACTGCATTCCAATGATCTTGACAAGGAGAATTGAGGAATTGACTCACCACACTGACTGCAAAGGAAATGTCGAGGCGAGTAACTGTAAGATAATTTAATTTTCCAACTAATCTTCTATACTTGTTCGAGGATCCGACATTGGCTCCCCCGATTTGGCAAGAGTTTGGTATTAGGATCCATGGGTGTGTCAACAGGCTTTGAATTCATCAACCCAGTTTCCTCCAAAATATCCAATGCATACTTTCTTTGAGATATAACAATGCCATCGGTAGATTGTGCAACCTCAATACCCAAGAAATATCCGAGTTTGCCAAGATCTTTGGTTTGAAAATGGTGGCAAAGGTGTTGTTTCATCCGAGAGATGCCATGATGGTCACTACCTATAAGAACAATGTCATCGACATACACTATCAAATAGATACATCCGAGCATTCGAGTGACGGTAAAAGGCCGAGTGGTCCGCCTCACTTCTAGTCATGCCAAATTGTTGAACAACGTCTGCTAAATTTTCCAAACCAGGCCCTAGGAGACTCGTTTTAGGCCATATAAAGATTTGCGAAGACGACATACCAATCCAGAAGACTCCCCCGAGCAACAAATCCAGGAGGTTGCTCCATATAAATCTCTTCTTGCAAATCGCCATTCAAGAAAGCATTTTTGACATCCGAGTTGATAAAGAGGCCATTGTTGAATAGCGGCCATGACAATGAATAAACGAACGAAGCCATCTTTGCCACTTGGAGAGAAAGTATCACCATAATCCAACCCAAAAATTTGGGTATAGCCTTTGGCTACAAGGCGAGCTTTGAGGCGATCAATAGTACCATCAGGACCAACCTTGATAGCGAAGACCCACTCGCAACCAACAACAGATTTTCCAGATGGTAATGGGACAAGCGTCCGGGTTCCACTAGTCCGAAGAGCACCGAGTTCATCTAGCATGGCCTGACGCCAACCGGGGTGGGCTAAGGCTTCGGAGGCAGATTTAGGAATAGACACGGAAGAAATAGTCGAGAGACGAGTATAAAATGGTGAAGAAATTCGATGATAACTTAAAGCGAGTATAATGTGGAGAAGGATTATGAGTAGAACGCGTACCTTTACGAAGGGCAATAGGAAGGTCGGACTACGTGGACGGAGCCGGAGGAGGCGAGTATTTGGCACCGGGAGTGAGTCATGTGGCGTGCTGTTGTGGGCGAGGTCTGCGACTATAAACTCGAAGGGGTGGTGGAGGAGGAGGGGCTAATGGTGGATGGTCCTCAACATAGGGATCAATGAGAACAGGGAATGGGAAGCGTAGCGAGGTGGAGACTCGGCGGGTAGGGAAGGGTCCTTAAAGTAAAAGGAACACTCATTGAAGGTGACATCGGCGAGACACAAAATAGCGATTAAGAGAAGGAGAAAAACACTTATATCCTTTTTGGGATCGAGTAAATCCTAAGAAAACACATTTGTGTGATCGAGGAGATAACTTATCATGACCAGGATCAAAATTGTGGACAAAACAGGTAGACACAAAAACCTTCGAGAGGTAAAGGATGGAGAGTGTCATGAGGAAATAAAATAGAATGGGGAATTTTGTTATCTAAAACCGAAGAGGGCATACGATTAATAAGATAACGAGCAGTAAGAACAACATCACCCCAAAAATGTTGAGGAACCTCACCATGAATTAAAAGAGTACGGGTTGTTTCAATAAGGTGTCTATTCTTGCGCTCGACCACCCCATTTTGTTGAGGGGTATAAGCACGGGAAGTTTGATGAAGAATGCCATGAGAAGCCATAAATTGTTTAAACGAGTTTGAAAGATATTCACGGCCATTATCACTTCGAAAAGTTTGAATAGAGACACCAAATTGATTTTTAATTTCATGATAAAAGTTTTGGAATATAGAAAACAACTTCGAACGATTTTTCATTAAAAATAACCAAGTACAACGAGAGAAATCATCAATAAAAGTAACAAAATATTGAAAACCTAAATTAGACTTAACACGACTGGGTCCCCAAATGTCGAGTGAACTAAGGCAAAGGGGGATGAAGCACGCCGGGAAACACTACGAGAAAAGGAAGTACGACTATGTTTGCCTAGCGACAGGACTCACACACCAAATTGGACAAGCTGGGATAAGGCTGGGAACAAGTTGCTTGTAATTTGCGCAGGCCAGGGTGACCAAGGCGAGCATGAAGGCGAGAAGGAGACTCCATAAGCTGTGCCAACATGTGGAGAAGGTTGAAGATAATAAAGTCCATGTGACTCACATCCGGTGCCAATCACTCTTTGCGAGCTCGGTCCTATAGGGAAACAGAAGTTTTGGTAAAAGAGATAACACAATCAAGAGATCGAGTTAGACGGCTAATGGATAATAAGTTAAAGGGGGACCGGGTACATACAAAACATTATCAATGGACAACGAGGGAAAAAGAGTAACCGTTCCAACACCATGAGCTAAAGTTGTAGACCCATTAGCCATTGTAATAGAGGGTAAATTATGAGAAGAAGTGAAAGAGGAAAATAAGGATTTGTTACTAGTGATGTGATCGGTGGCGCTCGAGTCAAGAACCCAAGGGCCAATAGAAGAAGAGTGAGTCGGACCGAGCAAAAGATGTACCTGTGTGGGCAACGAAGTAGTGGAGCTGGAGGGCTTTCGATCCTCATACCATTGAAGAAAATCATTGAAGATAGCGGATTTGTACGAAGGTACGAGACGAAGGAGGATCCACGACGGAGGATTGTGCGGAAGAATCGGTCCGAGCAAGCTGCAGCGGATCGGCGAGGATAACCATGTAAAGCATAACATTTGTCAATTTTGTGGCCTAGTTTGCCACAATGGTCACACTTGACACGCCCTTTGCCTGGCTTGTGAGAGCGATTACGATCATCACGGTGA